TCCCAGATACCAGTAATCCAAACTAAGACCTTCCCAGGTGTAGTTCCGGTAACGAGTACTGTACTGTGAGGATTAAAACTTAAGAAGAGGAAAAAAAAGTAAACAGAAAAAATGGGTAAAAGTAATAATCATCTTTAGGGAATTTAAAAACAGGTACAAGGATAAAAAACCCCGCATGTTGGGTAATACTGGTGGGTGGAGTTAAAGAATAAGAAATTGAATAAAGACAAATTTAGTGAGTATGGAAAAACGTAAGAGCACAGTGGAGTAAATAATAAAACAACTGCAGAACAAATGTACAGTCGCTCAAAAAACTATTTCAGAATGAACACTCCGACTCCTGTTGTCTCGGTAGGGTTGTCAAAATCCTTCGTCCATTGTGTCTTATTGTTTAACGTAAATTTTGTTAAGATAGTTTTTTTTTTGAGCGACTCTACATTAAATATTGAAGATGGATGTGAGAAGAAAGTCAGTTAAAGAAATTGAAGCTTATAAAGAATTTTCATGCAATTTTAGAGGAATCTAAGATCTGGAAGAATCTCAAAAGAGTAGAGATAGAAATTCAAGGAGATAGATGTTGTCTAGAGATGTTTCTGTCGGGGAAAAATAAATAGGTAAGGAAAGTGGGATTTAGGTAATGAAGAACTATAAAACATAATGAGGCAGAAGAAATATATGAAAAGTTGACAGAGTGTGTAGACCTGTATAATAATAATGATAAAAATAATAATAATAATAATAATGATAATAATAATAATAATAATAATAATAATAATGATGATAAAAATAATAATAATAATAATAATAATAATAATAATAATAATAATAATAATAATAATAATAATAATAATAATAATAATAATAATAATAATAATAATAATAATAATAATAATAATAATAATAATAATAATAATAATAATAATAATAATAATAATAATAATAATAATAATAACAACAACAACAATAATAATAATAAAAATATAGGAAAATTAAAAAAAAAGTATATTTAAATAAAGTTATCAGTTCTAAAAGCAGTGTTGATGCAGCTGTGAAAAAAAAATATTAAGCCTTGTGGGGTTGATGAGCTTTCAGGGGATTTTCTATAAATATGTGTAGAAATAAGCTTTTAACAAAGGAATCGCCTTTCCAGTGGTTAAAAAAATGGATAATTGTACTTTAAACACAAATAATTAAGCGAGTTCCTAGTTTTTGACAGTTCAATTATATAGGTACTGTACATACATACATACATACATACATACATACATACATACTCTCAAATAAAATGAAGACTCGGGGGAAAAAAGTGTTAAGTGGATCATACTTGGTTATAAAGTGGAGTGGAACTAAGAATGTTATCTTTAACTTAAGAAATATATGTAGAAAAGCTTCGCAAGTTTAGATAACATACTGCCTGCCATTTGCTGACGTGTTATGTATTATACTGTACTGGCAACATGATCGGGCTTAGATTAGGATAAGTTATGTTTCGTTAAGTTAGGATAGGGTAAGTTAGGTTAGGTGAGGTGAGGATAGAATAGGTTAAGTTAGAGCAAGTTAGATTAGGTTAGGATAGGTTAGGATAGATCAGGTTATGGTAGGGTGGTTAGGTTAGGATAGGTTAGGATAGGTCAGGTTATGGTAGGGTGGTTAGGTTAGGATAGGTTAGGATAGGTTGGGTTATGGTAGGGCAGTTAGGTTAGGATAGGTTAAGAATAGGTCAGGTTATGGTAGGGCGGTTAGGTTAGGATAGGTTAAGGATAGGTCAGGTTATGGTAGGGCGGTTAGTCTTCAGATGAAATAAACATGGTGGGGCATTCCTCAGGTATTCCCAGGGGTCTTGACAAACAACAGAGTTAAAACTGAATCATTTCCCACAACTATTGTATACTGTCATCAAACCAGACGTCTTTGTTACTATATAAAAAAAGGCCAATAACTTATAGATTCTGTATTTGTAATTTGTTTTTACTCGGATATCATCATATAATTTTTGTTTTTGTTTCTTACTCAAATATAATACAAAATTTCTCCTTTTTTTCCCGAATAACATAAATTCTCTGTTATTTTACTCGAATATCATCATGTAATTTTTTCCTGGTCTTATAATCAAAAACTTTTCCAGAATAAAACAAAAATGCTGTAGTTTCTGGCATGTTTTCATTCCGGGCAAAACAGTCTTATCCACCATACAGTCTTATCCACCATACAGTCTTATCCACCATACAGTCTTATCCACCATACAGTCTTATCCACCATACAGTCTTATCCACCATACAGTCTTATCCACCATACAGTCTTATCCACCATACAGTCTTATCCACCATATAGTCTTATCCACCATACAGTCTTATCCACCATACAGTCTTATCCACCATACAGTCTTATCCACCATACAGTCTTATCCACAGTCTTATCCACTATCCACCCTTATCCACCATACAGTCTTATCCACCATACAGTCTTATCCACCATACAGTCTTATCCACCATACAGTCTTATCCACCATACAGTCTTATCCACCATACAGTCTTATCCACCATACAGTCTTATCCACCATACAGTCTTATCCACCATACAGTCTTATCCACCATACAGTCTTATCCACCATACAGTCTTATCCACCATACAGTCTTATCCACCATCATCCCTGTGAGTGAAGGTGGGACTGAGGCCTCGTCTCATCTCTCATCCTCCCTCTGACTCACACCCATAAATTTTAAGTTTATTTATCAATATTCTCTCATATTTTTCCCAGAATCAGGTCAGAGGGACGCCCTTGTTAAATATTGACCCCCTGTGTCTTGCCTTCCTCTCACTCTAATGCTTATTTAACCTAACCTAACCTAACAAACTATTACGTAACCTAATCTAATTGAACCTAACCTAACCTAACCTAAACTACTGTCTATTTTAATCTTGTTCTCCTCCACACCAAATCAAGTCATTCCTATTTCTTTTTTTTTCATCCTGTGTGTGTGTGTGTGTGTGTGTGTGTGTGTGTGTGTGTTGGGGGTATTCTTCATTGTTTGCATTTTATTTTTGTAATCTCTCTCTCTCTCTCACACCTGGTTAGCCTCGTTAGATGTTACCAGACACGGGTCCACGATGGTCCACTGCAAAATGCATTCCTCTCACTCAGGTAATTATCAGTAGGTACCTTCTTGCGCTAGTTCTCCCTCATTGAGTCTGTTTTCTTCACCATTAAACACGTTTTCTCGGTCATTGGTTCCGTTTTCTTTATCATTAGGTTCGTTTCTTCTATGATTGGGTCAGGTTTTCTATCACTGATCGTTTCATATGATAGTCAGCGTTTGGTGTGGACAGCCATTATGGTCAGTACTGTTGTGTGGTCAGTTCTGTTGTGTGGTCAGTACTGTTGTGTGGTCAGTACTGTTGTGTATGGTCAGTGTAGTGGTCAGTCATGTGGTCGCATTGTTGTGGTCAGTACTGTTGTGGTCAGTACTGTTGTGTGGTCAGTACTGTTGTGTATGGTCAGTACTGTTGTGTGGTCAGTATTGTTGTATGGTCAGTACTGTTGTGTGGTCAGTGTATGGTCAGTAACTGTTGTAGTGTGGTCAGTACTGCCAGGTGTACCGTTGTGGTCAGTACTGTTGTATGGTCAGTACTGTTGTGTGGTCAGTACTGTTGTATGGTCAGTACTGTTGTATGGTCAGTACTGTTGTGTGGTCAGTACTGTTGTGTGGTCAGTACTGTTGTATGGTCACTTGCATCACACACAAGAAGAATGTTAGAGGCCCTTGATACGTGGTGCTGTAGGAGAATGGTAAAGATAAGTTACACTGACAGGAAACAAATGAAGAAACACTAATTCTTGATGAGATGGACGAGAGAAATACTGGATATGTATAGAGTTTGGAAAGTGAAATAAATTGGTTGCTGCTGCTGCTGTCTTCACTAGAGCTTAATCTCACTCGCAAAAGTCTCGAGAAGACAATGTGTGTTGTGGCGTGATGATCGGATTGTGTTGTAAAATATTCACTTTTGACATTTAGATGAAAAAAGGGGTTTTTATTCTTTCTACTGTTATTCCGGACAAATTCTCTCTAAAGTGGTAATAAAAAAAATGCAGTGTGTTAACTAATATTAGTAGTGTAGTAACTTAAGAATCATTAGGAATAACTCTATAATTATATACTCTAAATATTCATAAAAGTAAGAAGGGGGAATGAATACTTTTGAATACTTTTTTCATAATATTCGATTAAAAATTACTAAATAATATAAATTCTCAATATCTGGTAACATTAACCCTATTTCATTATACGCAGTTACTGATACTTTAGTTAATTAACGTATTTACTCGTTATCTGATCACAATAGGTAAAAGGTTAAGTAATTGGGTATAAGAAGGTTGTGCATATCGAGAATCTAGGTTAGGTTAGGTTAGTTTAGGCTTAGGTTAAGTTATTTTAGTTTTAAGTTAGGTTAAGTTAGTTTGGATTTAGCATGGGTTAGGTTAGGTTAGGTTAGGTTAGGTTAAGTTAGTTTAGATTTAGCATGGGTTAGGTTAGGTTAGGTTAGGTTAGGTTAAGTTAGTTTGGATTTAGCATGGGTTAGTTTGGGCTTAGGCTAGATTATTTTACGTTAAGTGAGATTAAGATAAGCTCAGGTCAGGTTAGGTTGTCAGTTTTGTTTAATTTATGTTAGATTTACAGTAGGTTAGGTTAATTCAGGTTGGGTTAGGATAGGTTAGATTAGGTTAGGTTATATAAGGTAAGATTGGATTAATAATGTAAGTTAACCTTTTCTCTTAACTTGAGTTTTTGGGAAGGTAAGAGAATAAAGTTCAAGTCTCACTTTAATTTGTGTTATCATTACTTAAAGTTGAATTGTTCTTTACCTTAATCCAACCAGGTAGATACGTTCCAACCTCTCTCAATACCAGGAATAATTGATAATCACACACTTAGCTTCTCACACGGGCGTATATGTCAGGTATAATTAGCCACCTCCTTCCCCACCAACCCCGAAGGTATTCATGAAGTCTTTGTTGAGAGGTTCTTTGTGAGGCTGTGTTTGTTGAGAGGTTCTTTGTGAGGCTGTGTTTGTTGAGAGGTTCTTTGTGAGGCTGTGTTTGTTGAGAGGTTCTTTGTGAGGCTGTGTTTGTTGAGAGGTTCTTTGTGAGGCTGTGTTTGTTGAGAGGTTCTTTGTGAGGTTGTGTTTGTTGAGAGGTTCTTTGTGAGGTTGTGTTTGTTGAGAGGTTCTTTGTGAGGCTGTGTTTGTTGAGAGGTTCTTTGTGAGGCTGTGTTTGTTGAGAGGTTCTTTGTGAGGTTGTGTTTGTTGAGAGGTTCTTTGTGAGGTTGTGTTTGTTGAGAGGTTCTTTGTGAGGCTGTGTTTGTTGAGAGGTTCTTTGTGAGGTTGTGTTTGTTGAGAGGTTCTGTGAGGCTGGTTTGAAGGATGGGTTCTGTGTGAGGCTGTGTTTGTTGGATGATTCTGTGTGAGGCTGTGTTTGTTGATGGTTCTTGTGTGAGGCTGTGTTTGTTGATGGGTTCTTTCAGAGGCTGTGTTTGTTGAGGTCTTGTGAGGCTGTGTTTGTTGAGAGAGTGTTTGGAGGCTGTGTTTGTTGATGGGTTCTTGTGTGGAGGGGAGGCTGTGTTTGTTGAGAGGTTCTTGTGAGGCTGTGTTTGTTGAGAGGTTCTTTGTGAGGCTGTGTTTGTTGAGAGGTTCAGAGGCTGTGTTTGTTGAGAGGTTCTTTGTGATGAGAGGTTCTTTGTGAGGCTGTGTTTGTTGAGAGGTTCTTGTGAGGTTGTTTGTTGAGAGGTTCTTTGTGAGGTTGTGTTTGTTGAGAGGTTCTTTGTGAGGCTGTGTTTGTTGAGAGGTTCTCAGAGGCTGTGTTTAGAGGCTGTGTTTGTTGTTGAGAGGTTCTTTGTGAGGTTGTGTTTGTTGTTCTTTGTGAGGCTGTGTTTGTTGATGGGTTCTTTGTGAGGTTGTGTTTGTTGATGGGTTCTGTGTGAGGCTGTGTTTGTTGATGGGTTCTGTGTGAGGCTGTGTTTGTTGATGGGTTCTGTGTGAGGCTGTGTTTGTTGAGAGGTTCTGTGGGGGGGGGGAGGGAGGGGAGGGGTAGACACACTATAAATGTTTTTCTAAAGAGAGAGAGAGACTTCCGTATCTTACCTACAACTGAGAACAATAACAATTACGATTTGTCAGTTCACCATCTATACATAAGGTTAGGTTAGGTTAGGTTAGGTTAGGTTATGTTAGGTCAGGTTAGGTTAAGTTAGGCTGGGCTGGGTTCGGTTAGATAGGGATCGATCAGGATGGGTTAGATTAGGATGGGTTAGATTGGGATAAGTTAAAATAGCTTAAATTGAGTTAGGTTAGCTTAGGTTGAGTAAGGTTAGGCTCAGTTAAGATAGGTTGCGTTAGGTTAGGTTAAATTGTTAGGTTAATTAGATTAGATTATGTCAATTCAATTACATTTCAGTAGACTTGATATTTAACTTTCTTGGTTTGCCCAGTACTTGTTCAATCACTCATCAAGTCGTGACCCTCGCCTGGGAGGATGGTTCTTGGCAGACTCTTATATAGAATCAGAGAACACATGTCTCCTAACATAGATGGCTTCACCCATGGTAAAGGTGTACATAATTGCATCACCACATTCCTAACTGTGCATGGTGATGAAAGGCACAGATACACCACATTTCTTGACCTAAAAGCTGCTTTTGATTTTGCCAATAGGCAACTGATATTGTACGAACTAGCCAAAATGGATATAGGAGGTCGGCTGTTACACTGGATAAGTGGTTACCTAACCACCAGAAGGGCTGCTGCACTGTTTCAGGGTTACAAAAGTGAAGATAAAGATATGCAACCTTGGTACCCCTCAAGGTGGAGTACTTAGCTCCACTTTGTTCAATGTTCTTATGAATGCATTATTAAATTCACTACCAGACAACCCCAGCAATATCTCAATCAGCTATGCTGATGATATTCTTATACATACTAAAACTCATCGTTTTATGCAAACCACCCTGAACCATGTACACGCAGCCTGTGAAAACCTCGGTCTTATTATCCCCACTGAGAAATTAAGGTGTTCAACAAGCAAGCTGGTAACCGCAAACGCGGCCCCGCCAAGTTCAAGATAGGTAACAACTTTATTGACTATGTTTCTTCTTTTAAATATCTTGGTGTTTCCGTCCCTTGTACCTTACCTGCCATACAACAGTTAACTCGCCAATGTACTGACAGACTGAGACCTCTTAGAAGTGTAGCGGGGTACAGCCCACATTATGGTGCTAATAATAGAATTGTTAAAACAATGTACCTAGGCTATATAAGATCTCTGATAGATTACCACGCACCAGCCCTGGTCCTTCGTGACGGGAAAGGCGTTGACAAGCTCGAGAAGATGCAAAATAAAGCCCTCAGAATTATCCTAGGATGTCCCATGAGCACTAAAGTACTTAATATGGGGAAAGAACTAGGTATACCCAGTGTTAAAGATAGAATAATTGAAGTCAACCTCATGATAGCCCTGAGGCTTCTGCGTGGTGAGCCTGATAACATTGTTTCCTTAAAATTGCTAGAATTTATGAACCATGGGACTACTGAGTCTAAATGGATCCAAACTACAGGTACACATATGAAGATATTTGGACTAGACCACCTGTACAAAGTTGAGACACAACAGCACTTCCTGCCACCCTGGCGGACAGTTCCCTTCGGTATCACAATACCGACATATCCGCCCAAAAGATTAACTATACAAAGTATTTATCTCCAACACACTGCCAAAGTGAAAGCTCCTGAACACATACACACACTACAGACTGATGATAACACTTTACAAACTGAATTAGTTGCCATACTCACAGCTATTAAATTTATTGAAACCACTGTCACTGACAGTCTCACCATCACTGACTCGCTATCCTCACTACTTGCCCTTGACACCCTCAACTCAAGTTGTCACGTGCTTGTCTCTGAAGCCAGATACAAATATGCGTACCTTGTTGGCCGGGGTGTCAAGATCAAACTGTTGTGGATCCCCTCTGACATAGGCCTCAAAGAACATGACAGAGTTGATGCCCTCACCAAACTCGCGTCTAACAAAGACACTGTTGAATACAATCTGGGTCTGTCAAAAAGAACTCTTAAAACTGTAATTAGGAAAGAACTTATTGATGAATTTGAAGCAAGCAGACAAGTGCAAACAGGCACTAGTCGATCCATAGTTTACCATGATGAGATGTATCAAGTAAAACATGTATATGGAGCAAGTAACAAGATCACTAGATTACAAGATGTTGTAGCCGCTAGACTAAGGTGAGGTTATAAGTACCTCTGGCAGTATGTCCCTCAAGCAGACGTGAACAAGACTTAATGTAAAGTGTGTGGCCAGACATATGGCCACACACTTGAACACTACGTCCTCGATATGTGAAGATAGAACGTTTTAGGGACAGGTCCAAGCACACTGTGTGTGAAATGGCACAACACTTTATCTCTAATGGCAAGATAGCCGACATATTAAGGTGGTATCCACTACTGAACTTAGTACAGTATGGAACCAAATACGCAATGTGCCTGAATACCTCTCAGGCAATTGTGAATAACTAAGTGTGCGGCCAGACTACTGCCTTACACTGCAGTACACTGGCAGTTGTGAATAAGTTACCCTTTATGTACGGAACTAAACAAAGAATTTATATAAAATATTCTGTAACACTGCCATAATATCCTCACCACCGAGGTTAGTTATACTAATCCATTGTGAACCCTACTCTGTAATCCTTTTGCTCTGCCGCTCACAGGATGAGTATGGGGTGCACAATAAACTAGCCGCTGTAAGTGGGAAAATAAAAAAAACATAGTAGAGAAACAAAGTGATTGGACTTTATCATCAACTTTTCGCTGGTCTCTTTGTGTAAATGTCATGTTTCAATTGTGATCAATGTGTTGGCGTATTGGTAAACTTTGGGCTGTCATTGATTCAGGTCACCTCCAAGTGACGGTGGGACGACTACCTCCTTTGTGTGTGGGTGGGGTGGGGTGGGGTTGGGTGGGGGTGGGGTGGGATGGGGTGGGGTGGGGGTTGGGCTTAATGGGTTGGGGTGGGGTGGTATGGGGGGTAGGGTGGGTGGGGGTGGGTGGGTGGAATGGGGTGAGTGATACGTATAGCTGAGAGATATACAGGACTGAGACACACTGGCAACTGAGAGATGTACAGGATAGAATGAAATTTAGGTTAGACGTAAAGATTAAACGAGGGAGGTGAGAGGGAAGGTGAGGGAATGAAGATGGAGTGAGAGAGATGAGAGGGAGAGGTGAGGGAGGTGAAGATGGAGTGAGAGAGATGAGAGGAAAGGAAGGTGAGAGGGAGATGAGAAGGGGAAGTGAGAGGGAGAGGAGAATGGGAAGTGAGAGGGGAAGTGAACTGCAAGGAAGGGAAAGGTGAGAGTGAGAAGAGAGGGAGGTGAGAGGGAAGTAAGAGGGAGGTGAGAGAAACGTAAGAGGTAGATGAAGAGGAAGCAAAGAGGAGACAATAGGGGAGTGGATGAAGAGAGGGAAGTGAGAGTGAGAAGAGAGGGAGGTGAGAGTGAACAAGAGCGTGTGTGTTGATACAAGCAAAATAAGTGTTCAGGGGAGGGAGAGACCAGGTGAGAAGAGCAGCACACCTGACAAAAATAAGAAAATCGGAAGGTGTGAATGGGGAGGAGAGGAGGATGATAAACAAGGGAGACACAGGTAGAGTATTTACAAGGGATGTGTTGTGAGTTGGTAACAGATAAAAAGATATATGAGTGATAATGAACAAGACACAAGGAAAGTGATAACTGTGTGTGAAGGTAACAAGAAACGACAATAACAGAGGAATGGAGAATTGATAGTAAAAGGTTATATACGATATATATACTCTATATATAAACAATACTTCACTAGTCGGGAATCGAACCCTGAACCTCTGCGTGTGAACAAGGATCGCTACCATCGCGCCACTAGGACAATAAAACCAATCCTAGGCTTTGTATATTCCACACCAAGTCTGTTCAGAGAAGGCAGGGAAGGGGGAAGAGGACGAAGTCTTCATAATCAGAGGCTGCAACAACTTCTATTTTTTTTCTTTTTTTCTTTTACGGGGATTAGCCCACCCGTGCACAGGTCACTGACCCACATCGGGGCCTGGGGGGCGAACATGTAATAATAATAATAATAATAATAATAATAATAATAATAATAATAATAATAATAATAATAATAATAATAATAATAATAATAATAATAATAATAATAATAATAATAATAATAATAATAATAATAATAATAATAATAATAATAATAATAATAATAATAATAATAATAATAATAATAATAATAATAATAATAATAATAATAATAATATAAAGGGAAAAGAAAGACAAAGAAACGAAATACAGACATGTAGAGAGAGAAAGAGAGATGAGAGAGAACCTTTCTCACTTAGAGTGTCTTAATCATTTACTCCTCTTGTAATGAAAAAAAAAAGAAGCCGGAAAAATTCTCTCTGACATTTCACGTCAGTAGAAACTTTTTCAATATTAGACTTTACTGTAAATGTTACGTTTAAAAGATAAATGATAGGTGGTATCTGGTTTATCTGGGTTTAATTGTGGGATTTGTGCCATTTTGTCCGGGTTTTATGTTAGATTTCTCTGGGGTTTAGCTGGGTTTATGTTTTTGGTTTTTTCGAGGTTTTAAGCTCTTTTTCGGTTTAGGGTCTGGATTTTATGTTGTCTTTGGGGTTTATGTGGATTTTATCTGGGTTCTTGAGGGTTTTAACTGGGTTTTATGTAGGTGTTTAGGGTTGTGGAATTTGTCTGGTTTTATGTGGGGTTTTTGTCTGGGTTTTTATAATTTATGTGGATTTTATTTCGATTATATTTAAATTTGGGATTGTGTTTTTCTCTGGGTTTTGTGAATTTTATTTGGGTTTACTGAGGGTTTTTATTTTTTGTTTTTTTCTGAGTTTTTGTTTGACTTTTATATGGGTTTTTCTATTGACTTTGTTTATGTTTTATGAGGGTTTTTCTAGTACTTATGTGGGTTTATTTGGTTTTACGTGGTTTGAGGAGTGTTTACGTCGGGGTTTGAGGTGTGTTTACGTCGGGGTTTGAGGAGTGTTTACGTCGGGGTTTGAGGTGTGTTTACGTCGGGGTTTGAGGTGTGTTTACGTCGGGGTTTGAGGTGTGTTTTGCCGGGTTTGAGGTGTTTACGTCGGGGCTTGAGGAGTGTTTATCGGGTTTGAGGAGCGTTTACGTCGGGGTTTGAGGAAGTTTACGTCGGGGTTTGAGGTGTGTTTACAATGGGGTTTGAGGTGTAAGCCGATGCCGGGTTTGAGGGGTGTGTTTACGTCGGGGTTTGGCGTGTTTACGTCGGGGGCTTGGGGGTGTGTTTACGTCGGGCTTGGGGGTGTGTTTACGTTTGGGGCTTGAGGTGTGTTAACGTCGGGTTTGGAGGTGTGTTTACGTCGGGGTTTGAGGTGAGCGTTTACGTCGGGGTTTGATGTGTTTACGTCGGGGTTTGAGGTGTGTTTACGTCGGGGCTCTGAGGAGTGTTTACGTCGGGGCTTGAGGAGGTTTACGTCGGGTTTGAGGTGTGCTTACGTCGGGGTTTGAGGTGTGTTTACGTCGGGGGTTTGAGGTGTGTTTACGTCGGGGCTTGAGGGTGTTAACGTCGGGGTTTGAGGTGTGTTTACGTCGGGGTTTGAGGTGTGTTTACGTCGGGGTTTGAGGTGTGTTTACGTCGGGGTTTGAGGTGTGTTTACGTCGGGGTTTGAGGTGTGTTTACGTCGGGCTTGGGGTGTGTTTACGTCGGGGCTTGGGGTATGTTTACGTCGGGGCTTGGGGAGTGTTTACGTCGGGTGGTCGTGATAGAAGGACTTATTACTAGACAGTGACGTGTTTATTAAGATCAATTGTCCTCTGCTATTTCTTCTTCTCTTTTTCCTCCTTCTTAGTTCTTTCTTTTTCTTTCTTATTTCTTTTTTATTTCTCTTTTCTTTCTTTCTTAACCTCACAAAACTAAAAGAGAAAGAGATGTGATAGAGAACGCGAGACATTAGCCGGGGAGTGGGGTGCTGGTGGGAGAGTGGTACGGTTCTTGTCTTCGCAAGCGAGATGTCACGGGTTCTATTCCCGGGCTGGTGGAAGTTGTTTGGACATACTTCCTAGCCTGTTCACCTAGCAGTAAAGTAGGTACCTGTTGTAAGTCGAAAGTTGCGAATTCGTATTCAGGGACAAGTTGTTGGAGCTTCCAATAACTTCATGACATAAAACCACTGACTCTTCAGGCTTCTACGCCCTTGACCCTTCAGGCTTCTACGCCCTTAACTCATGAGACATAAAGGTAAGCATGAACTCCGCATGCTTCCCTGTTGGGCGCTGTAAACGCTTCTGCGCTTCACCTTACACATGGATGTAGGGGAGTGCCCAATAAAAAAAAAAAAAAAAATTAGCCGGAGAGAGAGAGAGAGAGAGAGAGAGAGAGAGAGAGAGAGAGAGAGAGAGAGAGAGAGAGAGAGAGAGAGAGAGAGAGAGAGAGAGAGAGAGAGAGAGAGAGAGCTTGTAGGAGTAAATGGATTTCCTGAATATTAAACACCCCAGCTTATTTTACGCTATGATTAACCACCCTAATGCTATGTGGAGGGGTTAGGTTAGGTTAGGTTAGGTTAGATGAGAGAAAATTAGGTTAGGTTAAGTCAAGTTCGAGTAAGGATTATTAATCTAAAGGGATTTTTTCAAATGTACCAAACTAAAACACGAGACAAGACTGGACCAATACAGTCAGATACAGGCGAGCTAACTGATAACGACGGAGAAATGAACAATAATCTGAACAAATATTTTTCAATAATTTTCATCACCGAGAATTTAAACATGATACCCGAGGCACCGACTATATACAGAGATAGTGAAGAAAATAGATTAAGTGAGATAGTAGTGACTAGTAACGATGTTAGTAAAGAAATAGATAAACTAAAGCCTAATAAGTCACCAGGTCCCGATGAGATATTTTCCAGAGTATTAAAGAAATGTAAGGAAGAATATACTGGTATCCCCTCGAGAAGCAAAAGCTGATCAACGTCCCAATGTGTGTGTGTGTGTATGTGTGTGTGTGTGTGTGTGTGTGTGTGTGTGTGTGTACAGGAGGTCTGGCTATCTGTTAATAGGCTGTCTCTACTAATGAAAGTTGAACCATTCACTTATTGGGCAGTGTTGTAAGGAAGTTCATTTCATAATCACGTACACTGTACAGAGAAGGTCTATGAGGCGCCCAAGGTAAGCTGTACGCGGAACTGACCTTCTTTGTACTGTCGACCACAAAGAGCAATTACAGTCTAGTGTTTTTAATTTTTCATTGAGATGGACACGAAGTAATCCGCCTGTCTCATTGCTCTGCCTGTCACTGTCTGTCTTCTTTGTCTTCCTGTCGCTTTCTGTTTGTCTCACTTTTAATTCCAAGTATAATCAACTTGCCCCTAGAGTACGATAAATTTGAGTATGATAACATTGTACTCTGAGATTTTTCATCGTACTTAATAATCAATATTTTCCTGTATTCTAACAATGATGATTTATAATGACTTTTCATCATACTCAGGTTAGTAATCATACCTGGGTGAGTTTAATTAGAGATATACTGGGAAGTAATTAGTTCAGTATGTCCACACTCTGAATAATATATGTGTGTACCATATGTGTAGTTGTTCACCAAACCTGTTATATATGCGTTATCCATACATATATATGTAATGACTGCTTTTGGCACCTTTGTAAAGGGTCCTCCTGACACCATTGTAATGGATACCATTGGCACCATTATGAAGATATAGTGAGTTATAGTTGGAGGGTTCGAAACGTGAGGAAAGTTAGTAGCATAGTCCAATAGTTATTTAACTGTTAAAATGTTCCTAAGCGAAATCTGCTAAACAACAATTATAAGTACAGCTATTTATTAGTTAACTGAATGACCTGGACACATTAATATATCATTATATTGGCGTTACCAGATGATGACTCCCGGACACAAACCTGACGTGGCTACACTTCCCACTATAAGTAAGTTACCCTGTGAATCGCTCTAACATTGACTCACTTGTGACCTGGGGGAGGCCCAGCAGCTGGGGACTCTGACTGCAGGGCCTAGCCTGGCTGGGGAGGGAGGTCTTCCTCTCGATCTCGGGACTTGTGATTGAGAGTGACTCCGTCTGGCTCTGGAAGCTGTAGGTCATCGCTGGAGGGAGCTGTAGGTCACCTTTATTAACCGTTTGCTTATTGTCGTAGGCCGGCCGATGTCGTCTGTTAATTATTCTAACCTGGGTGTGGTTGGACAGGTGACTTTGGCCAGGTACGTGGTGCTTAGGGTTCACAGGGTGTGGCGTGCTTATCGTGGTAGGCCGGCCGATAATGCCCCCTAACAAATACTAACCTGGTTGTTTGGTCAGGTAATGGTGTACTGCTGGAGGGCAGCGTCATACCGCCTGTTCTCTCATCATACGGCGGCGAGAACTCCTTGCCCTTTGTGACCCTTGTTGGGTCAGGTCTGAATCTCATTTAATTATTGTAGGGTGTGTGTGTGTGTGTGTGTGCATCATTGATCGTTCTTTCTAAATGTCGAGTTTGCCTTCATCATTGATGTACTCTCTCAAAAATATCAGGCTTACCTACAATATACATATATATACATATATATATATATATATATATATATATATATATATATATATATATATATATATATATATATATATATATATATATATATCATGAAGATTATAATCAGTTTTAACACCCTGTGACTTATTACAGAATTTCACTGCCTGGGATATATTTCATAATTTTGATAGTTGAAAATTGTAGGTTTCTCTCAGTATAATTTCTGTTTACCCAATATATCATGTTATAAATAACTTAAATATTTGTTATTTACTTTTCTTTTTATTATTATAATGTCTTTTTTGTAATATTATTAATCCGCCTGAAACCGTGAGACAGAGTCTTACTGTCAGTGATGTCTGTCTGTCTCCGTCCACCTGTCTCCAAAATAACTTGAAACGGGTTTACGGATTTTTACTAAATTTGGCAGTTTTGACGAGCGTGTGACAAAGTCTATATGATAAACTCTTGGTGAAATTAGCTCTAAAATTAACCAAGTATTCCCATGGGGATGGTTTGCGCAGTGATAATGCAGAATATTTTTTGAGGATGAAAGAAAACCATGACAAGAGACAGTCTCCAGCGGTGACTGCATTATTAAGAGTAACAGCATCATTAGTTCGTTATTTACCCTGCCATGGTTACGGTTCGTGGACAAGGTTTATATCCTCTCCTATGATGATATTATTATTATTATTATTATTATTATTATTATTATTATTATTATTATTATTATTCGTATTATTATTATTATTATTATTATTATTATTATTATTATTATTATTATTATTATTATTATTATTATTATTATTATTATTATTATTATTATTATTATTATTATTATTATTATTATAGTGAGTACGTTAGCAGTGTGATTATCGTAATAGTCTGTCAATCAATTGGTCGCTGGTTAGACTCCCGAGTATGGAGGCCATGTGTCCTTGAATGTGAGCTTGTACTAGTAGTGTTACCTTTATATTAGCAAGTACTAGTAGTATTAACTTTATATTAACCATTACTAGTAGAAATATTTTTATATTAGCTAGTAAAATTGTAGCTTTATTTTAGCTAGTACTAGTAGTATAACCTCTATGTTAGCTAGTATTAGTAGTATAACCTCTATGTTAGCTAGTACTAGTAGTATAACCTCTATGTTAGCTAGTACTAGTAGTATAACCTCTATGTTAGCTAGTACTAGTAGTATAACCTCTATGTTAGCTAGTACTAGTAGTATAACCTTTATGTTAGCTAGTACTAGTAGTATAACCTTATGTTGGGGCCAGCCAGTGTAGCATAACTCTTATGTTAGCTAGCAATTAGTAGCATAACCCTTTATGTTAGCTAAAGGGGTTTCAGTAGTGCATAATCCTTATGTTAGCTAGCAATAGCAGTATAACCTTTATGTTAGCTAGTACTAGTAGTATAACCTTTATGTTAGCTAGTACTAGTAGTATAACCTTTATGTTAGCTAGTACTAGTAGTATAACCTTTATGTTAGCTAGTACTAGTAGTATAACCTCTATGTTAGCTAGTACTAGTAGTATAACCTCTATGTTAGCTAGTACTAGTAGTATAACCTTTATGTTAGCTAGTACTAGTAGTATAACCTTTATGTTAGCTAGTACTAGTAGTATAACCTTTATGTTAGCTAGTACTAGTAGTATAACCTCTATGTTAGCTAGTACTAGTAGTATAACCTTTATGTTAGCTAGTACTAGTAGTATAACCTTTATGTTAGCTAGTACTAGTAGTATAACCTTTATGTTAGCTAGTACTAGTAGTATAACATTTATGTTAGCTAGTACTAGTAGTATAACCTTTATGCTAGCTAGTACTAGTAGTATAACCTTTATGTTAGCTAGCCTAGTAGTATAACCTTGTTAGCTAGTAACAGTAGTATAACCTTTATGTTAGCTAGGCACTAGTAGTATAACCTCCCTACCTGCCTGTAAAGGCCTAACTGGTTCTCACAAGCACAATTCTAACTTTATTCCAACCTGCCTACAGATATGATTCCACACACACACACACACACACACACACACACACACATACACACACACACACACACGCACACACACACACACACACACACACACACACACACACACCCACACACACACACACACACACACACACCTACGTATGTGTACGTTGTAAGAAATTTTGCCAATAGTTACGCAAGGTTGAGTGATTATTTATCCCACTAATGAGAGTGAGATAATTACCCTAGACATGTAAAGATAATTAAAGGAGACTTAATGTGTGTGAATGATGATGAGAACGTCTGTGTAATGATTCAGGTGAGGCAGTAAGGACGTCATCAACAGCGTGTTTAAGTCTTATTACAGCCTCAGTAGTGAAGGGGAACAACCTGATTGGATTATAATAAATAAGAACCTTAAGGCTAATTAATTGGCACTTGAGGAGATCATCTGTTAATTACTGTTGTTATGCATTTTAAGTTGAGGGGAAATGGTGTGTGTGTGTGTGTGTGTGTGTGTGTGTGTGTGTGTGTGTGTGTGTGTGTGTGTTGTCATGTGTGTGTGTGCATATCGTGTGTGTGTGTGTGTGTGTGTGTGTGTGTGTGTGCGTGTTATCGTGTGTGTGTGTGTGTGTAGTGTTATCGTGTGTTGTGTCTGTGTGAGGGGTGGGGGGGGGGTTACCGCTGGAAGGTATTTCGTTGTGGTTTGATAGCTTCTCGCGCTCACCTCAATATCCAAAGTCAATTAAACCAAGTCAACCCACACGCAGGAGGCGGAGCTAATAATGTGACGTCATAAGGCCGTAGTGGAAGAAAACGGTAGTAAGGGAGGACTCGTATATTATCACGGGTGAGACCAACCCACTGTATTAGAAGATATTCTTGCCATATTTCCTGATTCTCTCATCCCCTAGCACACTGTCTTTCAGTTAGCCACTTGAACTTCGCATTTAATCATTATTTTTGTAATATTCCTATTCTTATTATTAAAAATTTATATAATTATTATTAACAATCCTCTTCTTCCTCTTTATTATTATTTCTACTCTTATGATTTGGCTGCCAGTATCAGTGTAAAAACAATTAAGTAATAATAGGCATATGGGTTAGCTATTTACCGTCGACCATATGACGTCATGCACGCCGAATGGTGAATTTTCGACTCGAAGTGTGTTGACTTGGTTTAATTAGACTTTGTCAATACCATTTTAATATTTTCCCAAAAGTCAGGGGATCAGGACACAGAGCAGAGATAACAGTAGGTACTTCAGCCAAGAGTTTTGTTATCAAGTGATAGTATAGTGTTGCTATAGGGTTGAAGACACACACACACATCTATAATAGTGTCGAGTGTTATCCGTAAAGTGTTCTCCCTTCGTTAGAGTTTGAGAATATATAGAGGAGATTACTTTAATGTATTAGAGGATAATTATGAGATATAGGAAAAACTGAGGCTATATGAAGGTGGAGGATGTATTGAACTGCTGGACGCCTTAAATGATTGGAGGTCGGAGGTTATACTTATAATATAAAAGGTAGATATATGAAGTAGAATGTTTTTAAGTGTTGTTTGGTATATGATATATGGAAACTAAAAATATATGAAGGATGGTTTAGAATCTAGCAGTTTGTGTTATACTATAAACTGAAGATATTTGTTAGATTTTATATAAAACTGAATAATAGAGGAAAGATGTTTTAAACTATTTGAAGTGATGTGATATAGAAAAAAATAACAATATATGAAGGAGAATATCTTATAGTATTAGAGGTTATATAAGTAACACACCAAGTAACAAGGAATTGCAGTGAACGAAACAATATGTGAATGTTATCTCTAAACCTTGCGAATGTTTCATAATTTTTCACTCAGTTTATGAAGTTGACTTTGATCATATGGAAACATTTCTTCCCTCCTTTAGTCTTTACTGATTAATGTTATTACAACAACAAAAAACAAATACACATAATCAAGCAACTGTCCTAAATTAATTATGTTTCATCCCCCACAGAAAAACACAAACGAACAAAACCAAACAAACACAGACAAACAAACAAATACACGTAGACAAAAAATAGTAAACACAAACAAACACACAAACAACCTCCCCGACTGTTCTTGTTTCATGTTGAATTTTATAGTACTGTAAAACTCACTAGTTAGAAGTGTTTTTTTTACAGCACATACAGCTTCGAAATGCTGTAATTTGATTTGTGCGTCTCTTCATTATGTAAGGTTTATGGTCTTAACGCTCAGCGGTAAAACAGCGCTGGGGAAATAAAGTTAGTTATTAATTTGGAGTTACATGTAGGCTTTGTAGGCCAAGAGGAGTGATATTTTAGGTTTTGTAGGTCAAGAGGAGTGATATTTTAGGGTTTGTAGGCCAACAGGAGTAATATTTTAGATTTTGTGAGCCAAGAGGAGTGATATTTCAGGTTTTGTAGGTCAAGAGGAGTGATATTTTAGGTTTTGTAGGCCAAGAGGAGTGATATTTTAGGGTTTGTAGGCCAACAGGAGTAATATTTTAGATTTTGTGAGCCAAGAGGAGTGATATTTTAGGGTTTGTAGGTCAAGAGGAGTGATATTTTAGG